GGCCATCTCCGCAGCCCAGACGCTGACTCAGCTGCTGCCTGTGCAGGGCCACCGCGCACCCCTGCCTGCCGCAGCACCTGCAGGAGCAGGCCCCAGCACGCCCGTGAGCCAGGCGCCCGCTGGATCTCGCTCCCTGCGCCGTGGCCGGTCTCGGGTTAACTGTTTACACTTTATCTTAAGGATTTTTTATTTAGTTTTATTTGTTATTATTTTAATTTGCTACAGGGCGCATGACCTCACTAGAAAAACAGAAAGTGAGAAAACAAGCCACCAGGTCTGGGACTCAAACCGCAGTCACCCGTGTGGGAGTCCAGCACCCAATCCACCACGTCGCCTGCCGGCCCCAATTTTTCTTTTTGAAAAATGTTTAGTTTATTAATCCTCTCATGAAAACTCCACACAGTGACCGCAGAATCTCTTCTCCGACTGCCAGCACCAACACTGGCCTTCGCAGTCCCCCGTCTTCCTTCTGTCGTCGCCTTCCTGTCGCTGTCTTCTTGACGTCTTTTTCTCCTCATAAAGGCCGTGTCTTGCAAGTCTATGCTTCGGTCCATCTTCACCTCATCCAAGGAATCGTAAATCATGCCCAAGCCAGCTCTCAACACCACCAAAATGGGTTCTGAACCCAAGCACAAAGATGCCACCTGGTGCGGGCTGGACATCTTCGCTAGTTTTTCCCGCATTTCTGTCTCGGGTACTGTTGCCTTCCAGGGTGAAGGACAGCAACGACCGTTTGTCTCCTCTGAAGGAGTCGGGTGTCCCCGTGTCGTTCCTGATGGCGGTCTATCCTCAAGCAGCCAGGGAGGGTTTCCGTTTACTTTGAGTTGTTTGTTTGTTTTGGAGAGGTTTTTGCTATAGGGCGCGTGCGCTCGCCAGACAGACAGAGAGAGAGACAGAGAGACAGAAAGCGAGAAATCACCCCCCAGGAGGGATGGCCACACCGCAATCCCTTCTCCATTTTCCTTGAAGCGCGGTCGGCTACATGGGAGTCCAGCAACATAGCCATTGCACTAACTGCAGGTCCCACATTTATTTCTTTTTAAGAGAGATTTTTGTTATAGGGTATGTACGCTAGCTGGAGAGACAGACAGACAGGTAGCGAGAAATCACTGCCCAGGGGGAATGGCCACACTGCAATCCCTTCTCCTCTGTTTCTCTCCTGGATCTTGGGCACACACGCACACCTGGCGTCAGTTTGAAGCCACTGGGTCCGGGATTCAAACCACGATCTGCCGTGTGCAAGCCCAGCAGCAGGACTGCTACACCATCTGGCTCCCCACCACTGCCTCTTTACCGCAAGCCCAGGAGATGTGGATGTGGCCATGGCTGCTGTGGTGGAGAGGAGAGGAGAGGAGGCCCAGAGGCCTGAGGCTGGGGTGACCGAGGGAGTGCCATGGACTCGGACCAGGTCCCTTAACCCGCCCCACGTGCCGGCCTCCACTCTGCTCCTGCTGCCTGCTGTTGTTGTTGTTAATTTTTTTAATTTATCCAACAGCAAGCTTCCCTGCCTCTGGACCACAGGGACAGCGACCATACGCCCTGACCTCCACAGCCCCAGACTCACTCCCCAGCGCCCCCACCACCCCCGGCAGGTGCCCGCACCCACCTTATTTTCACTCACGAGCGAGCTCGGGCGTGAGATGGGGAGAGGAGAGACCCTCTGCCGGGCCACCTCCCCAGCCCTCCAGCCGCCTGGCCCGGCTAGAGTCGCGTGGCTGGGGTGGACGCTGCCGGGCCAGCACCGACTCTGGGTCCCTGCTGCCCACACCCGCTGGGCCCCCGGGCTGGGCCTGCTGGTGCCCTCTGTGCCCGGCAGGCCCTCAGCGCTGACTCCGGGCCACCCATCCGGACGTGAACCTGCCGCCTCGCTAGAAGGCACTTGACCCCGGGCCAGTGCTCACGCTGCTTTTCTGGTCCCACGGGGCCACCACGGGGGACCTTGAGGGCATCCCTCCTGGTCACCGGCTCAGATGTCAAGGTATCAGAAAATGGAAACCGGGGTAGTACGGCCAGCCTGGGTAGCTCGGGTGTGGGGCAGGACTGTCCCTGGGATGATGAAGGGGACACCTCCAGGTGGCAGCCAGTTGTGCAGGCCGGAATGCAGGAAGCGAGCGGCTGGTGAGGCCTCTGTTCACCCGGGGAGCACAGTGGTGGCACCAGGGCCCCAGGGATGCCACCTCCCGTCGTCGGCCACGTAGGCTGCCCTCACGCCCAGGCCATCCTGGGACTCGTGAGTCAGGTAGGGGCTCTCCTCTCCCGTCATGCCACTCTCTCGATCGTGAGGAGAAAGTGAATTTGGGGCTGGCAGGTGGCGTGGTGGTGAAGACGCTGGACTCCCACGTGGCCGACCATGGTTTGAGTCCCAGGCCTGGTGGCTTGCTTTCTCACTTTCTCTCTGTCTCTCTCACTTTCTGGTGAGCACACGTGTCCTGTAGCAAATTTTACAGAAGAATAGTGATAAATAAAATAATTTAAGAAAACAAGTTAACTTATTGTGATTTTTATTTATTGGGGCCACCGTGGCATGGAAGTTAGGGTAGCTGGACTCCCACATGGCTGACTGTACGGTTCAAGTCCTGCACAGACCTGCTCCTGGTGGCTTGCTTTCTCACTTTCCCTGTCTCTCAATTTCTGGTCAAATTAAGAAATAATAAATAAAATTTAATAATTTTTTTTAAGAGAGAGTTTTGCTATAGGGCATGTACGCTTGCCAGAGAGATTGAGAGAGACAGAAAGCGAGAAATCACCCCCGGGGGACGGCCATGCCGCAGTCCCTGCTCCATTCTCCCCTCGGGATCTTGGGCATGCCCAGGCGCCTGGCAGTTTAAGCCCCCGGGTCCAGTCAGTCATGTGGGAGTCCAGCTGCGTGTTTCCACCATGATGGTGGCCGCTCTCATCCCCAGAGGTGGCCGCTGCGATGTGCAGTGCGAGGTCCGGCCCTCTGCCTGGCAGACGCGGCGGGGAGCTTGGCCCAGCCAGCTTGTCTGCTCTGGCCTCCACCTCCTCTGGCTTCAGGGTAGTTCTGACACCGGAGCCTACTCTGACCCTCCCCTGCTCACAACCCCCATGGCTCCCCAGCATCCTCCAGGGAACACCAGGCCCTGTTTCCGGAGTCCCAACTCCAGCCTCGTATGTCCCAACACCAAATTCAGACACTGCAGGGACCTGTGCGCGGCATCCGCTCGCCACCAGGGCCTGCCCAAATGTCCCCCTACCCAGAATGCTCATCCCTGGTCGCCATGGCCACCATTCTTGTCTCCGGGACAACCTGCTGGCAGCTGGGTGGCGTCTCCATCTCTGGCTCAGAGGCCGAGCAGCAGGAAGGGGAGAGGCAAGCGGGCACGCTGGAGCCCATGGCCATGAACTTTCAAGAAGTGAGGAGGGGCCGGTGGGGTGAGGGGGGGCCAGGGCGGGGCAGGGTCTTGACCTCTGCCCTCCCCCAGAATGTGACCTTGGCCATGGCTGTCTTCACCATCCTCGCCTCCATCTACTTCTTCAACAAGGTGAGCGGGAGGCCAGGAGGGGCAGGGCTCTATGTCTCCCATGTCTCTGTATCTCTCTGTCTGGTTTTTCTTCTCTCAGGCTCAACAGTGACAAGACCAACAACTGCCCACCCAGCAGCCCTGCCTCTCCCCGACCATGGCTCTGGCCTCTGAGCCCAAATAAATGTAACTGGATCAGCACGCCCTGCTCCCTGGCTCCGCTGCCTGGGCACGAGGCACCGCCGGCTCCGGGGCTCAGGGTCTGGACCTGAGGAGGTGCCGAGGGGCGTGGGCACCCCGACTCCTGGGTCTGAGGGAGAGTGATGAGAGCACACATTCTCAGGTTTGAAGGGAGGGGCCCAGAATCTGGGCTGGGTTTTGAGGGATGAATAGGAGTCTGTCAAGAGCATCAGAGAAGGGGGCGTTGTCTCGGTGCTAGAGCACAGGGGAGGAGGCGTCGCTGGCTCACCCGCAGCACCAGCGTGGACCGCTGGGGCCTCGCGCCCGTTACTTCTCCCCGCCCTGGTTCACCTCTGTCAGATGGTGAAAACCTGTGTCCAGTGGGCCCGGAGGGCCATGGAGTGGGCCTGAGACCAGACACCATAGACTAGCTGCAGCTAGTTCCTCGTCCTCGTCACCACAGCTCGGGCCGTCAGCACAGCTTCCTTTTCCCTTTTAGCAAACTCCTCTTCGACCTTCAACACCCACTGACAGCCCCCCTTCCTGTAGAAGTGACCAGACCCAGATATGCAGTCCAGTGGCAGCCCCTCACTTACTGCTCCTCCCTGTTCCCTGCACCCCCCTGCACTCCCCGGCCAGTGCCCTGGGGCCTTCGGCCTTTGGCTGGGCTCCATCTACCACGTCTGGTAAGAAGCAATTTCCTTCCTACCCCGGGTCTGAAAAGGTGGCTTCTGAGCAGGGTAACAGCACGTGGCTTCCCAGGAAAGGCCTAGCAAACTCCAGTTATAAACAGATTCGTAGTCGCGCTACAATTTTAGCTCAGATGAATATAATTTTAGCGGATTAGAAACATTTTAGGCCAATTGGCATAGTTGGTAATAGCTCCCTCTTTCATTTTAAATCCGAAAGCATCCCGATTTAGAAAACAGTCGTGGGTTCTTGGCTGCAAAACCCTAAATAACCAGAGGGGGGCGGTGTTGGACTATCTTCCCAGCCAGACCCGCGCTCCCCAGCGCGCGCTCAGGGAAAGGGTGGTTGGTCAGCTTTGGCAAAACTGCAATTCTTTTTTTTTTTTCTTTAAGAATCATTTATTATTTTCTAATTTGCTATAGGGCACATATGCTTACTAGAGAGAGAGAAAGCTGCCAGGGCCAGGACTCGAACCGCGGTTGCCGTGTGGGCGTCCAGCGCCTCAACTAGCACGCCACCTGCCGGTCCCACAGAACTACAACTGCTAGATTTGAGGCCGGGTCGGGGCTGATGCCGAGCTGCGCCCTGCCTGGACTCCCTCTTCCCCACACCCTCTTCCACACCCGCCACCCTGCTCTGTTCCCGCGTCCCCGGGGGGTGGCAGCTCGGCTCTCCCTGGGACTGTAACCCGAGGGCCGTCGAGCCCCCGTCCCTACCGTAGCGTCTCAGAGGAGCCGAGTCCCTAGTGGCCTTTCTCGCGTTGGTGGGGTCACCACCGCTTCCGGCCCGCCCAGTGCAGTCGGGCTGCTTCCTCCTCCCCCTGCGCGCCCCTTCCCAGCCCTAGCGCCGACCCTGCGGGGGCCCGCTGCAGCCAAGACCATAACTCAAACACCGCCCGGGTCGGCCCCCAACACACAGGGCTCAGACCAGACCAGCCCGCAGGAGCGGCCTTTCGGTATCTTTACACCTGCTGTGAGATCTCTGCATCTCTGGCCCCTGCCCCATCCCCCAATCCCTGTCCCTTCTCTCTGAGCCTCAATCCATCCCTCTGTCCCCCTCTCGCTTGGTCTCTGCCCCACCTCCAGGCTCTGTCTCTCTGTCTCCCTGTCTCCCCACCTGGCTTGTCATCTCTGGCTGCATCTCAGCTCAGGGTGTCTCTTTCTGGAGACGGGAGACACAGAGGTCACCCCTTCCCCACTGTCTTTTGCCTCCAGGAACTTCCTTTCTGATCCCCATCGGCCTCCATTCCTGGTGAGAGTCCCCAGCGTAGGATGCAGAGTGCAGAGGGCTGAGGTCACCACAGGCCCCCCAGGGCAGACCCCAGGGTCCTGAGCTGCACCCAGATATCGGCTATGTCCCCATCCAGCCTGGCCTCGGAAGAGGCAGCATGGGAGGGAATCGGTGGAAAACCAGGGTGGCAGGGCCCCATGGTAGACCCCAGGGGCTGACGGTCCCCTTGTCGCGAGCGTCCATACCCCTAACCCCCAGAGGCGGTGGACAGTGCTCAACATTGCTGTCACCCAGACCCAGTGCCAGCCCCAGGAGGGCCAAGGTCCTGGAGTCCAGGCACAGCCAGTGGCTCCCGGGGGTGTCCAGTTCTGAGGGTCGCCCTGAGGTTTGCAGGGCCAGCCCTCCAGGCCGGCAGAAGGAGCCAGAACACTGCCCCGGGGCTGCCAGGTGGTTCAGCCTGGGCCCGAGCAGGGGCGCAGCGGGGCAGCTCAGCTGCAGGCAGCCCTGGCGTGGAAAGTCAGGAAGGCCCAGCTGGGGTCCAGGTGGCACCTTCACCATCCGGGACCAGCCGAGCCCATCCAGGTGAGGGCCAGCACCTGGAGGACGGTGACCGTGACAGTGAGGGGGCCGGAGTCCTGCACAGGTCACCAGGCTATGGCTGGCGCCTCCAGGAGGTACGAGGTCAGGGTGCCCAGGACGTGGGGGAGGAGGGCAGCCCAGGCGGCATAGGCTCGGGCCGCTGGCCACCATGTCTCCGCAGGGTTCTCCGCAGGGTCCTCCGCGGCTGGTCTGGCGCTCGGGACCCACGGGGCTCCACATTCCATTCGCTCATCCCGCTGCTTTCCTGCAAGGCCTCCCCACAGGGCTGGGCGCCGACCTGCCCTCCTCTGCTCACAGCCCTGCCAGGCCCCCCAGCGCCCTGGCAGCCTTGCAGCCGCTTATCTAGGGTGGAGTCAGTGAGGGGTCC